TCCATAATAGTAATCAGCGTAGAAATTTGATCTGTTAATAACTGAGCTCTTTGGATTGATTTAGGCCTTTTTACCTCACAAAATTATATAAAGTATTGAAAATCATCAGATAATATAGAAAGTAATAACATTTTTCTAGGTGTAAAAGCAAAGAGATAAAGATTCTGTTTCTAGTTAGCCTGAAAAATTGTATAAGCATGAAGCCTCCTTGTCCACAGCTTGTAATAGTGAAAAATAGGGACAGTACTTTTATACGTACTTTCTGCCACTTTCACTATTATTTGTGTTTCCCAGGGTAGAAATAAGGATGTTGGAACACCAGGATTAAACCTTTGTGTCAAAGGCAAAGGTAATGACAGAATTTCATAACATAAAATCTAATAACAAGTAATTAATAGAATTTAATAACAGGAATTTCCTGACTTCCAGCTCTAAGTTTGTTCCTCCACAGTTGTCCCATTACTTGTGGGAAGTGTGGACTGAACATCTTTCCACAGAGGGGCTAAGAAGAAGATACAAGCTACTCATGAGCAAGACTTAAAATATTGCAGGATTTGAAAATAACGCTTTTCACTGTGAGGTAGTAGATAAAACTAGCCTCAAATTAGCTTTGAGTATCTTACAGGGTCTTTTTATACAAGCTGTCTTACTAAAATAACTTCCTTTATTTCTCCCACTCTAGGCAATCTTGCAACAGGTTCCCCAATTTCAGAATTACTGCTCGATAAAGTAGGAGAATAAGGTGACACTGGGAACTCCTAGTATCTAGTAAGCAACGTGCCTGTAGCACGTGTTTTCAGCACTAAGTGCAATTAATGGGAATCTTCCCCGCAGTGAAAAACACATTCAAATACTTTGGAAAGCCTGAGGTTGTTCTGAGAATGTTTTATAATTTAATGGGATAACGCCGGTTCAGGTGATGAACCAGAACAAGCTGTCAGGATTTCTGGGAACGTCCCGTTGTTTCTATGGTGTGTGGCAAGTTACACCTCAGTGTCTCTAAGCTGCTGCTGCACGCTTGAGCATATATGAGAAACTGTGATGATGACTTACAGGGAATATAAAATGAACTTGACTGAGTGGAAACATTTATCTCTCAAGTAAAAGATGAACTAAAAAATGCAGGAGAGCGTATGTAATAGATGTCCATCTCCATGCAATGGCCGCATTCGCTAGAGCTGCGTATTTCAGGTGGTTCCCCGGCTGGCTGCGGCAGTGCTTTACACACCCAGACAGAACTGCAGACGTTTTGGGGTGGAGCCTAGAAGGCTGTCACATGGTGGTGTCTGTGGTATAGTGTGTTGTAAATCTGTGCCATACGAAATTCCCTGCTTTCTGCAGGTGCTTTAAAAACTCTCTTCCTCCAGAAGGAGCTTTGATGCGGGGCAGGAACTAAGCTGCACCGAGCCATCCAGCCTGTGGACGCGATGGGACAAGGTGCTACAGTGCCCCTCTCTCTTCTTCATGCTCTGGGAGCTGAGGAGTCACAGGGTGCCGTGTACGACCCAAACCACCCCAGCCCTCGCTTCGGGGCTCAGGGAGTGTCACCGAGTGGCTCTGAAATATCCAAGAGGCTGCAGAAATTGCTGAGAAATTAAAGTTGCCTGTGGTTGCCAGTAAGACTTACTTAAAGATTTTTGTTAGATTACAGGGTGACCCAGCATCATTCAAACATTTCTTTCCTCAAAATGCTTATAATTTGAATTTGATTAATACGCTTTATGAGATACCTGATTCTACAACTTCCTTTATAAGCAAATTATGCTCTGAAAAGGCATGTTGGACTAATGGCTGTAAAACAAGAGCAAGCAACTGTGTTTTATCGGACATGACAGATCATCTCTCTTGATGCAGCAACACAGGTGGATTCAGCCTGTGGCTAATCTGGCTAATCTGCTTGGCTCTTCTTCATCAGAAGTGCTCCCAAAGGAGAAAAAAGTGAAGAGAAACTGCCTTCCAGTCCCATTTGCAGCTTCAGGAGTAACAGAATTTCTCCTGCAACATTGTTTTTGTGCAGAAGAATTAGGAAAAAGACAAAAGCCTCCAAGAAGTACAGCATACACTTCTCAGGAGATGTCAGTAACTCTGAGATACTTCTTAAGTGGCGCATTATATTTCAAAACACAAAAGATAATTTTATATTTAAAACCAGGAACAGCATCTGATTGCACCTTCTGAACTTTAATAGGAAGGTCTTGGCTTACAGTTGTAGAATTGTGTTACAGGATCCATCACACTTCTTTTCTGTATAAATAAAAAAATGAAATATTCTCCTGCTATTTTCATAGAAAAGAATGAGTTACTGATTTCTAGGGCTGATTAGAAGATCTAACAGATCACTGTGAGACTTAGAAAGTATAAGCTTTACAAATTCCTTCTTGAGACAAGCAGATTAGCCAGAAAGCGAGCCAAAGAATGGCCTTGGCTGGGACTGCAGCAATACAGGATAAGGCTGTGCAGGGTGGCTGTGCCGAGTAGGTGAAATATGGCTTAGCAAATAAAGTGTTGTTTCCTTTATATTATTCTTAATCTTCTCACATCTGGTGTATGTAGATGGTAAACTTACAACCGCAAATGTCGGTGGTAAGGTTGACATGGTTTAGTTAAAGAAACTGAAGAAAAAAAGGGTGCTGAAGGGAGAGCCCTTACGATGTGCTCTGCGGCTGCAGACACTTCATCCTGACATACCAGATTTTTAAGGATGGCGAGTCCACCAAATCTTAGTGGCACCAACAGTAACTACTTCAGTTGGGAGCCTCATTTTACAAAGCGTTTTCAAATGTTTGGCTCTCGCCTCGTGAGCCCTGTTCATAAGCTCTGCAGCACAAGAGATCAAATGACGTATTAAGCGTGTTCAGGCCCAGAACACATTCACAAATACAGGTCAGGCCAGTCAGTGTAGGCTCCTGTAACTGTACTTCAAACCAAACGCAGATCTAGAGCCACCGTGGAACATTCATGTGGAATAAGGGAATATTCAACAATTCTGCTTGCAGTTGAGAAAAGGATCGTTACTTGCAGGGAGCAATTTAGACTTTGTTCCTGTCTCATTAGCAGGAAGAAAAGCGTATTTCAATTACTGATCACCTAGGGAGTTTTTCAAAATATAAATCAATAAACGTTGCTTTCCAAAGAGCCAGACTTCAGATAGCTTTCTCCTTCCCTCAGCTAAATTTTCCCCTGCAATATCTACAGGGGACACGGAAGAATTTACTGAATGTAAGTGTACTTTGAAAACATGGGGACTTCAAAAAGTCGTTTTTTAATTGGAGCGTGCACTCTTACAGGCATTTGAGGCCGGGAGGGAGCTGGTAAGTATGGGGTTAGTCAAGTGCGACAGAAATAGGGTGACAAATGTGGGCAGTAGACGACTGTTCAAGGTTCTTTTTAATTCCTCACAGTCAAGTTTTATGAACTGTGCTTTGTAGATCCTCTGTTCTGGTCTGCAGATTATTTCTTTATTCTGAAACGAAGCAAATTCTGAATGCTTTATGTTAGCATTTCCTGAAAATTTGCACGCGGATTCGTTTTTATCAATTAAGTACCAGCACATACTTTTGCTTAACTAAGCTTTGAACTTTTGCTCTTGGGGAGTTTTTTCCTTTAGGACCTTTAGGTTGTAATTTCATTTAAAGACAGCTGAAGGACATGGGTGTGACTTCTCTCTAAATATAAGAAGTTGTTTGCCCAAAAGCCAGCCCATAATTTTCCATGAATACATGAGGTATTCCTCCTTTCTACATTCCTTTTCCCATGATTCACAGCAGAGTTATGTTTCTCACTAACAAGCTACCTCACTGAAGTTTCAGTCTCTGAAAGCAATACAGTCTGTGCAAAGTTGTTGCTTGGTCACTTACTTAATACATATTTTATATGCTAATGATTTTTCAAAAATTACTCAGAAAAAAGATTTCTTGCACAGATTCCTCACAATGCTCCTAAATCTTAACAATTCCCTAAGTAATTTTACTGAGGTCACTGAAACTAAAAAGAACTGTGTGGACCAGTTTGCAGGTCTGGATTCAGCTGCTGGCCGCAGGGACCTAACCCAGGACACCCCACCTTGAGCCCGGTTCTCTGGCCTCAGCCCGGTGCCCCAAAGCCACGCAGGAGCCTGGCGGCTCGGGGAAGGGCTTCACCAGGGTTCAACGGGCAGCTGCCTACAGCAGATGCTCACCGCCGAGCCTGTGCTTATCAACTCTCCGTCTTCTGTTGTACAAAATTTAGAGAAGCAATTAATTACCACATAAGTGATTTCTATAATGGATTTTTTTCCCCGTCTGCTTCCTCTGGTTGTGGGGCTTCATCATCTTTCCTTTCCGAGTGGGCACATGTTTTTTTTGCCACCACAGTTTTACAAGTGCTGTTCCTAAGCCCCAGCCTTCGCCAAATGATCTGATGTCAGCCTCCAGCCGTGGATGAACAGCGGGGCGCCCATCCCGTAGGACTGTGCTTAGAGAAGAGAGCTGCGACTAACGAGGAGCGCGGTGAGCGGCGCAGCTCCGCAGATGCTTTATCAGCGCTCGCTGCAGTTCGCTCCTCTTCAGGACACAGGCTCCCCGCGCCAGCCAGAGCGCATCAGCCCAGAGCAGCCTTCTCCGTGTCCGTCGTGCGAACTGCAAGGGAAATATGTCAAATGCTTTGTCTTTTTTTTTCTTCTTTCTGCATGAGCAGTCGTGCATTTTTCCCCATGCTTTGAGATTTTGCTCAGAAATTGAGAATTCAGAGTAGGAAATGAAGACAGGCACCTCTGTCTGGTCTTAGTGACGTTTATTGAGAGCTCAGATAAAAGCAGCATGCCATCACAAAATGAGAGAGCTGATTGTGGCTAAAAGTCAGTGATTAAAGGACAGTTAATGAAGAATTAAATTGCATACTGACCAATGTCAAATATCATATAAGAAGCAAATTTTCTGTCAAAGAATAAACATGAATCAAAATTCATTTTTACTGAAAATTTTTAATTAGATGGCACTTGAGGTCTCCAGAATGTTTTCGTTTCAATGCTTTTTCTTTCGACCGAAGGCTTTATCCATGCTGTTGGGGATCTTCAGGCAGGATAAGATAAGTAGCATTATTTTTCTAGGAATGAAACTGAGGAGACAAACACTGAGTGAGCCTTATGTTTGGGTTTTTTTTAGAAAAAATATACTCAATAAAGAAATGGTAAATTCATTATATGTGCTCAACACTTCTAATGTCTGGCAATAACACATTTGGTGCTGCCACGTCGTGAATGGGGGAAATGAATGACAGAGCAAGGCCCTTGGTGAGAGCCCAGCCCGTGGTGGAGGCACTGATGGGAAGCAGACAGTTCTAGCTCAGGCTAGTGTACCATCCTGGGAAGAGTTTTGAAATTTCTGTACCCAACTATACCTTAAGACACATATTAGAAACAGAAGTGGCCAGAGGAGTGCTATTCACCTAGCTTATTAAAAATTAAAACCACTGCTTCTTCATAATTGGGTACATATAACTGAATCGACTGCAGGAACACTACCTAAAGGAGTGGTTTTACTAAACTTCCCTGCTGATTTTGCAGGCATATGGCAAAGGAAAGAAGGCAACACTAGACAATGGGTCACATTCTTACGTTTTGAAACCAAGAACGCGTAAAGTCGGAGGCAAGATTAGATAAAACTGTTCCTTTTGGATTGCAGACACAATCTTGCTGGCTACATACTCTGGTTCATACACAGGAGATAAAAGGGGGCATCTGGTGAAACAAGAAACAAAGCATTATGAAATTACAAAACTTTACTTTTGAGATGTATTCTAACATGGAAATAATTTAAGTAAATCATTTAAGGATTTTTCCCCATCCCCTCAAGTAGTCTTGAAAAGGAGCTCCCAGTCTCCTTTGTTCCTTCTATCACCAAAATAAATTGAAAACTCTTTGGTGATACTGTGCATTTTAATGACTAATGAGTAACTTTTTGTGCAAGCCCTGCTCAGACCCTAATGAAGTTAATGCCCACAGTGATGGGGGCATTGAAAACTTCCCAGTATATGTATATAATCCATAGTATGTGCTGTTCTAGGAATGAGCGTTCCACCCTCCGCACACCTCCTCCTTTCCTCCTGTAGGTGCTGAGGTGACAGCTAGATAAGACGAGGCCCAGGCCCATTTCCAGCCAGGAGAAAGGGTGTGCTCTGCCCAGTACGTGCTACTACAGGCTGGTGAATGGTGCAGAGCCCTGAAGAGCCCAGACCACTGGTACTGCACCTCTGCAATGGCTCACTCGGTGCCTGCAGCCTCTCCCATCACCACCACCGTACAGCCACCCACCAGACACTACAGCACAGCTATGCTCACGTGGAGAAGTCCAGGGGCACAGTTCGTAACGACAGGTCACGGGCACCGTGACAGCTGTAACTGTACCACAGGGCCAAAACTACTTGGGGCAGAGGACTTCAACAGTGCCCGTTCTACTGACAAAGCGAGGTTGCCTTAAACACTGCCGTGCGTCCCGAACCGTGCCTTGGCTGCGAGGTTATTACGCAGTCCCTGTTGCACGTCAGTTGTTACTGTGCGCGAGGCTTGGATTATTTTTATGCCAAGAGACATAGTTGTATGTGCCAACAAGGCAAAAATACTGACTTGAAAAGCAAACCAACCTTATAATCGCTAGAGACTGAACATGGATATCTAGTGAGCAGTGAGTACTTTTTACACGTGAACTAGTACGCGATCTAAGTTTTACTTACTGGCTTTGATAACCTCTAATTAATTTAGAATTAACAAAATTAGGGCAAACGATTGTGGTTTTAATGCCTCGTTTTCCTGCATAATACAGTTCCCAATCTAAGGTTTCCAGCATTCCAATGATTGCAGATTTACTGGCAGTATAATCTGAAAAGTGAAGAAAGAAGAAATATCCAAAGCATGTCAACAGCACCACAGTAAGTGTTATATACAGTGTTTCATGTTCTGTCATACTATGCAAGCCCTGATATGGCTTAGTTATAGAATCAGCACTCTTGTAATTAGTATTTTAAGGAAGCATATTGGTGATGCTAACTCTGAAGGTTAATGGCTCTTCCCATGATGGATGCACAGTCTAAGGATAAGATTAATCCTTTCCAGAAGACTTTCAGTGCACTAGAGAGACACATCGGAAGATGAGCTTATTCAACAGTTTATGAACATTTCCAGATACCTGTATGCAAGCCAGGCATTCCGTCAGTTCAAAATGTCTCCAGCCTTTAATATCACAGGTTACATTTCTATCGTAGAACTATTTCTAGTGGCAAAATCTAAATACCCTACTTATAAATGCTGCTTCAACCTATTACTCCTTCTGATTTGCCCTGCAACTGCAATACCATTTTGTTTGCCCAGGAAGATTGAATCTTGCCTGATTTTTATTGTTTGATGAATGTATGGAACTCCATCCTTGGAGATAATAAAAATTTGCCCTTGCAAGACTCTGTGCAACCTGTTCTAAGTTGGGCCTGCTTTTATTTGGGGGTATGGAACAAACGGCCTCCAGAGATTCCTTCCAACCCAAGTTATTCTACAATTTTGCAGCTGTAAGAACCTTGTTTTAAAATGTTGTTTCCTAAGGCTTGTTCAAATTTGTGTGAAAATAGTTGTTAGATGTAACGAAATCCAATTTTGCTAAAAGAGTAACTTCAAAACCTGGCATCAGAGACAGTTTGTTATTCTCCAGGGGTTCACCCATAGTGGATGATGGAACCACACAACCTAAAAATGCATAGCTAAGGTGTAGAAAGTTACATTGCATAGATGGTCAGGTCCACTCTCATAAGCCTTACAATGAAATGATGAAAGCTGAGTGGGACCTATTACCAACACCAAATCTGACCCAACCATAACAGGTAGCAAATAAACACTACACTAACACCACCGATCAGCAGAAGAAACAAGAGATCTGTATTACACTGAAGTTCACATTCTCATAGGGTGACCTAAGAGATACAATCAGGACGTCAGAGAGGCTTGAGGAGAGACTGGGCAGCAGACCCAGGCTGATGAAACAGTCAGGACTGCAGCAGACAGCTCTCCTGAAGGAAACAGCTGAGAATATGGAGCTTTAAATAGTTTAAAACACAGTTCATTCAAATTAATTTTAATGAAAATTCTGCCAAAATGCCTGCTGGACCTGAAAACTGTTTTCCAACCAAATTTCTAGTTCCAGGTATAACCCACCTATGTCTCAGGACTCTGAACATTCATCTGCAGAAAACCTGGCATGAGAAAGTGTTAGACAACCTGTATGCAGGGCTCCCTCCCACTGCACACGTATGAGCTGCACTGTCCTTCTTCTGTGGAGATAAGGCAGGCTGCGGTCAGGCAGTACAGTCTGCAGTGAGCTCCTTGTGCCACTCGGACAACAGGCCCCCATCATCCTTTTAAATACACCGCCATCTTTCGTATCTGCAGGCTCCTCCTGGGTGTTCGATATGCCAGTATAAACTGCTCAAGTCAAGCATTTATGAGATCTCCAAGAAAAGTTATTGATAGGCAGGTCTAATTTGTAATGGCACTTGACAATACTAACCTGATGCTCTGTAGAGTCCCAAGAGTCCTGCTATACTGGCTGTGCTAACCAGGTGTCCACGGTTATAGGTCATCATGGCTGGAAGAAAGGCCTTGCAAGTCTAAGAAATATAAAGAATGCCCTTTATAACTAGACATGCCAAAAATGTTGCATTCTAAACGAGGCTTTACGTCCCGATCTGCTTTCTGGGGCTTCAATTTACAAGAAGCCCAAGTGACCTTCTATCTCTGAATGACAGCATTTCCTTGAATGACTGCCCTCTGTCTGAAGACCTTTCAGCACTAAAATCGTGTTATTAAAAGTAGCAAAGTTTGTATTTTCTCTGCCTCCTTGTTCCTCTCGGTTTGAGTCTATTTGAGATTATGACCAAAGATTTGGTACACAAGAGGGAGCTAGAAGTCAACACATCAAACGGAGATCAGCTGTCTATGGGTCCTGTTACAAACCCAACGGCCTGACAGCTCCGGCATGCCAGACCACCTCCGTGGGTGATACCACCTATCTAAAGAGGACACTAGTGAGGGGGAAGGTAAGAAAAAAAGACAAGAGCAGTAACAATTTTTTTCCCATAGCTGAGATGTCCTACAAATGTCTATTTGACTCCAGATGTGTGTGCCTCCTACATGGTTGGTTTTGGTTGAAGGCCCACAGTCACTGTCCTCCTGCCCTACATCTCTTCAGACCTGTCAGGAGGAATATCTCTCCCGGTCCCTTTGCTTCAGGTATTCGGAATAATGATGCACTGTGGGCTGGGAAATGATTAGAGGACTTCTGTGTGAGAAACATCATTTAGCTAGGGAGTTGCAATGCTAATTTTTTCCCTGACGCAGGCTGCTCACCCAGGCATATAAACAACAAATGCAAGAGGGAGCAAGAGTAACTCTCCCTCACCACAAAACCTCCTAAAGGTCAACAAAGACCCCAAATAACTGCAGATTCCTTCAGAGGTATGAAAAAACCCCAAAGATAATACACACTATCCAGATGAGTTTTTTATGTACATCAAGCAGATGGTGACTAGGAATGAAAGCACAACCTGAAGACTGACATCAGTGTGTGCAGCAAAGAATCACAGAATTGTGGAATTGTTTAGGTTCGAAAACATCTTTAAGCTCATCGACTCCAACTGAAAACCTAGCACTGCAAGTCCACCACTAAACCCTGGTTGTGCCTCCCCGAATGCTGCAAGTTATTAGACACAGCCCTCTGATGTCAGCAAACATCAGGAGCAGGAAAGTCCCATGCTGTCATGTCAGCACAAACTTCAGACAGAGCACGTTTCACAACAGTTGCACAAACTTTTGATTTACCAGAGTGCCCCAACAGGTTTGTGTTAACATTACTGGGATATAGTAGGGAAACTGGCAATTTGGTGTGTCTCCAATTACAGGATGATTAAAAAAAAAAGTGTCTTCCCCCATTCAAGGCCCTTCCCATCCCTATTCCAAATTGGGTACCCAAGGTAGGTGCCACCATGGTGATTTTCATACCCAAATACTTGCCTGTACCTTCCAGTCACCCTGGAGAGAAAAAAAATACATTACCCAGACTTGAGAGAGGAAGTTGACTCTTAAGGTCTTTTCAAAATCTTCATCTGGAATGTCCCAGAACTTTTTCCCAAGCACTATGCCAGCATTATTGATTAGAATAGTAACACCCCCAACTTCTTCTCTAACCTGAATAAAAAAAGGATAACCAGAAAGCTTTAGAAGGTATCCTCATCTCTTTTGCTTCATTTATGAAAATGTTTCGTGACATTTGCAAACATCTATATCTCTACTGGAAACATAGTATGTAAGAACTGTTGTACTGCATCAGATCAAAGGTCCACCTAGCCCCACAGCCCTTGTCTCGTGGTGAAAAGCAGTGAAAAAAGTATCAGGACTTTAAGGTCTCCTCCAGCATACTCCACAACTTTCCACACTTTGCAGCTCAGGATCTTCCCAAGAGAGGTAAGGTATCTACATCTTTATATTTAATATATCCCCCCCCCCTTTTTTTTTTTTCTCCCAGGAATTTGTCTAATTGCTTCCTGAACTCCAGAATACTTTTGGTTTCCACAGGAACCCAAGGTAATGAGTTACAAAGCTTTGGCGTGCACCGCCAGCATGCTTTAATTGCAACCTGAACGCTTCCTGTCCCCTGCTTCTGGTATTGTGAGACTCTGTATGCCTCAGCCAAGCCTGTTCAACCCCTTTTCCAGATCATTTCTGCTGAACAGGAAAGAATTGGGGGATACCAATCCTGTGAGTACAGAACCATGTACCATGATAGTTAACGTCCCCTGGAGAGAAGGCCAAAATCACCATTAGCTCCATTTGCATTTGTTATAAAAAGATTTTTTTCTGTGATTTGGATTTATATCAAAGCAGGTGGCCAAGATTGACTTACAGTACTAAGAATCGGGCTCACCGCAGAGACTTCCACGCCAGCGGCAAATGGTTATTTGGTGTCTCAAAAATTATAGGATGACTACAAAAACATAATGATCCCCAATCTGCTGCTGTCTGGCAATTTGGAAAGAGGTGCTTGGATCTGATGCCCCAACATTTGACCTTCCTGTGGCTCTCTCAGGGAACCCTTGTGTTCAGCAAAGGCTCGTCTGATGCTCCTCCAGCTGTGTCAGGCTTTCTCCTCATCGCAGACAAGCAAGGCTCAGGTATTAGCACCTTCTCACCTGCACAAATGAATGCAGATCCACACACTGCTGAGTACGAATGCCCAACTCCTCCTTTGTGGGATATATCAGTACTTTCTCCCTACTTGTACCTTTTAACTACTGTGTCAGTCCGTATGACGATCCTCTTTTTCTTCACACTACAGCATAGCTTCCCCAGTGGCAGCATTTTATTTAATCTGGCTCCATTTGACCTGTTTACTCACTACCTCAAAAAATGCAGGAAGCTTGACTTCCATTTACAGAAAGTCAAGCTGATTATTCTTCATTATGTATTTCTTTAGGTGTCTATTAATTCTTTATTATTGTTTCCACCAATTTTCTGCAAGACAGGTTTGTAGTTTGTGTCCTCTCAAGTGCTCTTTAAAACTGGTGGTTTTGCTACTCTTCGTTCCTCGGACACCTGCTGGAGCAAAACACGCCGCACACATCTCTAGCTCATCAGATCCGTATCTGATTTCCTTCAGAATTCCCAGGTGGAGACTGGCTGACCCTGAAAATTAGTTGCTGTTCACTTCACCAGTTTATTTTAAAATGTCTTCTTTGGGGACTTTGATGATCTGCCTTGCTTCCTAGAAAGAAAGCTTCCATTATGGGTTTTTCTGCAGTGCATATATCCAGTAAAAGCAATTAATGTAACTTTTCTGCTCTTGCTTTATCTTCTGTGTCCAAGCTCAAGCCTTTTCATATTACCAATCAAAAAGTTTCAGGTATTTCCAAGAGTAGAGGAGGCCCCTAGCTGAAAAAACTCTTGATCTAAAAAAATTCCTGGCTCCATCATGACTGTTCAATTCATGCAAATACCTGCAGAGATGTTGGTATTGTTAATGATAATTTAACACCCTAACAGCAATTCCTGAATTTTAAACACTTCTTCCAGTTTCTCCTTGTAGGTCAGTCTGTGCACTTCAGAACACTCTTTGCTGATCTGGGCACAGCAAATTCTGCAGGCTGGAGCCCTGTGGCTGATTAATGTGTTTGGAGATTGAGAATGACTTGAGTGCACAAACCAAACATTCTGAGACTCTGTTAAACTAAGAACAAACAAATCATTTCAAAATGTTCAGCATCAACAGGGAAGTCCAACAGAGAAATTACTTAGATAAGCTTAAACTAATCATTTTGGTGCATGTCTTTGCAAGAAGCAGATAGCATTTTGGGAATAGGGATTTAATGCCAATTTAAAATGTGGGTTTTTTTAAAGAGTTTTGATCTTGGTGAATTCTGAAGTGAGGGTTTTTTTCCTTCCTAAAAGGGGATTCTAGAAGAATTGCTGTTTGATTTGTAGTATCATTCCAAGTAAAGATCAAGTATCACATTGAAGTACTGACCACAAGTTGCTCTGACTGATTTTTCATCTTGCTGGGAACGGATAACAGGTATTAAGATTGTTCAAATTACTGGTATTCCTACTTCAAAAATGTAGGGAATCGTAATCAACGCCTTACATGTGAGGATCACGTCACTTGTACTGCTTGATTAATTGGCAAAGATCATCCTCCTTGAACACCGCGTGCTGTGTCAGCACAAGCCAGAACACTTGACAACTTGCTCCTCTCTGCTGATGTACTATTACGGCATGAGAAATCCTTGTCACCACTGCCCAAGTCATACTGTGACATGACTTAGGGACATTTTTTCTGTGCACTTTTAGTTGGCTGTGCCCCGAACGCTGCTAACAAGTATGGGTAAAATAATACCTTGCTGACTCCAAGCACGAGAGTTGCAATTCCAGATACTTACAGATCCCGAATCCAACTTACCCTTCAGAAGTACTTTTCATCGGGAACATTTCTTGATGAAAAACCTTCATTTCAAACTTTCATAACTGTGTTCAGAAAGAATGAATCTGTTTTGGCTAAAATTAAAAGCAACAACCACAAAAGAAAGAGCCCCCCTGGCAACTCACAGAAAATTAATGTTACATTTCAAGGCTATTCCAAAACAATCTATCAACATTCACATGTCATGAAAGATTTTAGCTAATTTCTCTGATGTATGCCTTCGGACACAGAACGTCAAAGATGTGACTTGAGTCATGTATGTAAGTACGTATACTGAGAATTTATCAGAAGAAGAATTTATCCTTGGCTAAAACAGCAGGGGGGCTAACTGGATTGTAAGTGAGGTTATACTGGGAAATATTTTCAGGCAGTATGTAGTTTAAGGACAAGTAAAAACTAATAATGTTAACTTAATGTCCAATTTCTAGACTCTGATAATAATAGTTTACAAAGCATAGGTCAGCGCAGCAGAAGAGTCTCATTTAAAACAAAGTGCTTCTCTACCTCACTTTCCAACTAGATTGACCAAAAAATAAACTGAAGCTGAATCATCAATTGGACTGGAGACCAGAGATGTCCTGATGATGTTTCTGAAGCCATTCCACCCCATATCACCCTTCCAGAACTACAGTTTTCTAAACAAATGGACAAAGGACCACTACCCCCCGCCCCCTGTTATGATTTCCACTGTTGATTTTTAAATTTTTTTTTTTATTCCTTGATATCTTAAAGAAATTTAAAGCCTAAACAAGCTAATACATGGAGCCAACCTCTGCTGCATGTTTTACCATACTCTTAATCTAAAAGAAGTTACCAAGTCACCACGAGGACTGGAAATGGATAAATCTCGACGGAAGAGATTAAACCCAGTTACTTTACTGCAAACGTAGTTTAAGCTCCATCTAGAAGCTACCTGGCAAAAAGATTAAGTCGTTGCCCTAAAAAAATTCCCTTTAGTGAATAGTACAGTTTCTAAAAAAAAAAATTTAATAGCATATACTATTAAAAAGAAGCAAAAAATCAGAATCAAGAAGCCAAATCAGAAGCCAGAAGCTGTATCTTACCTTGTCTGCCTGTTTATAGACCTCCTCCCTATTGCTGCAGTCACAGTGGTAGGCAAACACTCGTTTAGCTCCATTTTCTTGGGCTAATCTCCTTGTTTCTTCGTTACCTTCATCATCAATGTCCCAGAGAACCAAGGTTGCTTCCAACCGAGCAAACTTTAAGGCAATCTGCCTTCCAATCCCATTTGCGGAGCCAGTAATAAGCACAATTTCCCCTGCAAAAGTTTTTTTGCATGGGGGGAGTATGAATGAGATTAAACTCTCAAAAAAATAAAAAATTAATAATTTCAGGAACTGTAGTATCTTCAGGATGCTTCTGAAGTTGAACATGATTTTTCAGGCAAGAACACCGCTCTTCTTTTACACAAACCTAGAAATACGGTGTCACTGGCCCTTCAAAACACTGCAGATATTGACTGAAAAAAAAAACCAAAAACAGAGATTGATTTTCAAACAGCTGGTCTGTGCAGGTACCAAACAAATCACTAAAGACTTGTTTTGTGAAAGCTGCCAGCTGCTTACTAGTAGGATTAAAGCGAATGATCTTCTGCTGGATCCTACACACGTGCTGTTTCGTTCCAGACTCCTCATCTTCCATCTCGGTTTTTAAAGAGGTTTAGTAACGTACGTTTTATACAGGTACATTGTGGGAATGGCTGTAGGTTGTTTCCACAGCAGGGCCGTACTAGCTGAACAACAAAGTACCGAAACCACTGGCGTGACCTCAACCTTGGAGAGGTAGGTGTCCTCCTCAGCTGGAAACGTGACCCGCTGCTCCCGAAAGCGGGCGATAAGAACGTGTCTTCACCATCCACCTTTCCCAAAGCCGCAGGGCCCAAACCACACAACGTATTTCCTCCTGTGAGCACGCTACTGCCCACGCAGAAAAGCCGGGTGAGTTACAAACCTTGATTTTTTCTCCCGCCTTTAGACCACACCATTTCCTTCACAGCATTTTGGAGGGGAAAAGCAAGGCTCAGCAGAAGCAGCACCCACCACCCACCCGCCGGACCCAACCCCTCCGTGGGCACCCCGTGAGGG